CCCCACTCCTCTCCATCCATCCATGTCGTTACTCAAACAAAGATAGCGGGTGATTGGAGGGCACCACTGTGGAAGGCTCTACACACAGACATAAATTTAAAAAGAACTCAAATACTGCATTTATTGTTTCTTGCTAATACATGTTATCATAATATCCTTTTTTTGGTTTATCTATTGTAGGTTTCAGCTGTGGTCCAGTCCAGTTCGTGGTGGGAACGTTATGGAGTCGACATGTTTATTCTCCTGGGCGCTGTTGCTGGCTTGTACCTCAGTTATTTCTGTCTTGCTTCATCTGATGGCATCGTTTTTGCTGCAGGGATCATCCTATTGGGTCTCTGCCATACTCTCATCTCAGTGAAATCGGGCCACAATGCTGTTCATGGCTCTCTGTGCTCCTCGCCGTTTCTGAACAAATACCTGGGCTACTTTTGTTCCGATTTCGTCGGGTCATTTTCTTCTGACGCTGGCTATGATATTCACATCAAGTGCCACCACCCGCATACTAACATTATAGGTTTAGGTGACTCGAGCACATTCCGCGCTCCCTTTGTGCCCAACTTTCTCTACATGTTTGTCACCCCCCTTCTTTCTCCCTTTTTAATTCCTTTAGTGTCTGTGAGAGAAATGTACACAAAGTCTGCAGTGAAAATCGTCAGGCATGTAATAGTTGCGTACGGAGGCTTTGCATTTCATTTATACTTACTAACCACTGTATCACAGCTTACAATTTGGTCTGCTCTTCTTGTTTGCTTTCTAAGTCGAAACATTCTAAGTATACCGTACATACATGTGAACATATTCCAGCATATTGGTCTTCCGATGTATTCCCAACAGTACAGACCCAAAAAGGTTTATCAGATGACAACGGGAGTTCTGAACCTCCCCCGCAATTTTGTCTTGGACTATTGCTTTGGACACGGTATAATAAGCTGCCATGTGGAGCATCACCTGTTTCCCAAACTGTCTGACAACATGTGCCTCAAAGTGAAATCAGTTGTTGAAAACTTTTGTAAAGAATATGACTTGCCATATCATTATGACACATACATAAATCGCACAAAGGCTTTTCTTTTTGATTATCAACGGCTCATGGTCAATGCTCCTCCAGTCACAAAATTTGTTGGCTTGCAGTGAAAGTTTAGTAATTTGATGAAAATTAGTATCAAAGTACTCATATGCTTTGAGGAGGTTGTCATCAGAATTAAAAACCTATTCTTTCTTCTGAGAATGTCTGTCATTTTTTAAGATTCTGTACTATGAAAAATGAAAGCCTATCCTCAATTATATTTGACCAAATCATTTGTTTAAACACATACATGTAATAGTTGGATAATGAAGACAACTCAGATATACATATACCTCTATTATTAATTAACTGCATTGAATATATGATAGAAAAGGATTTGGGAATGCTGTAAGGCATTATAAGCAGATGTTGAGATTTTAATCAGGTAATAATGTTTAAAGAAGTCTTGTTATAGTTTGATATGAATGTTTCAGCAGAACCTCATCTTTACTATAAATTTGATAAATATCTGAAGCTGCATTGTTTGTATTTTACATCAGGTTACTGTCTGCTGGTCATTTTCGTGGGCAGATCCTGGAGTTGCCTTTTAATTGTAGCAGTTTCCTGCTGATATGCCAGTCTTTTTTTTGGTGTTTTTTTTGGTAGGTGTTTTATGGCGCTCACAACTGCATAAGGTCATATGAGCGCACGAGACACACCAAACATTTTCAATCGGTAGGAAATTTTGAATTTTGCGTGGGTGACGGCCGAAGCCTACTCTTATCGATTTTGGACAAGCAAGGGATTTTTAACGTGTGCAACTTGCACTAGGGACCTCCGAGATTTTTCGCCCTTCTCCGAGAAGGCTAGGTGTAGATCTTTCCTACCAGAAGCTCAGGGGTGTGGCTGAAAGACAGCAGTGAAAAGGAGCCAAGGAGTAGCAATAGAAAGGCTGCATAAAGAGTCCTGAGCTCAGTGGAGGGGGCAAAGGAGGTGAGGGGGTGGGGGAAGAAAGTGGAGACGAAAGCAGACAACAAAATATTGCAAGAGAGAAGGAAAGAAGGTGAAAGGAGACAATTTTAGAGAAGAAAATATTTTGGATTCGAACACGGGACCTTTGAATGAGAGGTGAACACCTTAACCTCTAGGCCACGAGAGCCCCCTGTGCCCGTCCACAGATAATGTATGACAATGCTTGTTCTGACAAAAATATATTTGAAGTGTAATGTTTATTCTATGAAGGTGGAGACTGATTTATGCTTTTGTCAGTTAAAGCTAAAAAAAACAAAACAACAAAAACACAACAAATCAAAGAAGATGTTTTGTATAGATAACTGCACAAATCTATCTCCGAAAAACTTTTGCTACATGTTATGAATGGTTTTAAAATATCCTCCAAATAGAATGTATGGAATGAGATCACTATAAAATGGAAGCTGAAATATTATCTCCGGACAGAGTATCTATTGCAAAAATAATAAAAAGGACGAGGACACAAATGCAATGACTTTATGCAGTTGCAAACGCTGTAAAATACTTAGCAGAATAACCCCTCTCCTCAAAAAACAACAACAACATATAAACAATAAAAAAACAGATAAAAATAAAACAAAAGAAACACATAAACGGACAGACTCTAAGAAAAAAACGAATAGAAACTTCAGAAAACCATAAGGAA